GAGCTGTTGTTCAGCATCTTAGCTGTAGAGGGCAGTGTCACTGGCCCTCATATGTGGGATCCGAACCGGGGCCCTCTGGCATCCCTAGCGAGGTCTTAACCATCACGCCACTCGGCAGGCCCCACAATTTCTTTATTCAGTATTCTGTTGATGGACATTTTGGTTGTTTCCATAGCTTGGCTTTTGTGAATAATGCTGCAATAAACATAGGGCTGCATATATTTTTTTCATGTAAAATGAGCTTGGGAGCCACCCCTCCTCCTGGATTTTTTGGATTCGTTTGAGGAGACTAGGTATTCTTTTTTTGAATGTTTGGTGAAATTCACCAGTGAAGCCATATGGTCCAGGACTTTTGTTTGTTGGGAGCTTATTGATTACTGATTCAATTTCATTGGTAGTAATCAGTCTGTTTAGGTTTTCTGTTTCTTTTGAATTCAGCCTTGGAAGATTGTATGTCTCTAGGAATTTATCCATTTCTTCCAATTGTCTAATTTGTTGGCATATAGTTGCTACAGTATTTTCTTAAAATTTTTTGTATTTCTGTGGTGTCTGTGATCACTTCTCTTTCATTTCTGATTTTATTTACTTGGGTCCTCTCTCTTGTTTTCTTAATGAGTCTGGTTAATGGTTTGTCAGTTTTGTTTATCTTTTCAAAAAACCAGCTCTTGGTTTCATTGATCTTTTGTATTGTTTTTAATAGTCTCTATTTCATTTATTTCTGCTCTGATCTTTAGTATTCCCTTCCTTGCACTCACTTTGGGCTTTGTTTGCTATTCTTTTTCCAGTTCCTTTAGGTGTAAAGACAGACTATTGATTTGAGATTTTTCTTGTTTCTTTAGGTAGGCCTGCATTGCTATGAATTTTCCTCTTAGGACTGCTTTTGCTGCATCCCATAGATGTTGGGTCATTGTGTTTTCATTTTCATTTGTCTCAAGGTATCTTTTGATTTCTTCCTTGATCTCATTGTTGACCTATTCATTATTTAGTAGCATGTTATTCAGTCTCCATGTGTTTGTATGTTTTTCAGCATTTTTTCTTTGTAATTGATATCTAGTTTCATAGCACTCTGGTCAGAGATGACACTTGAAATGATTTCAATCTTCTTAAATTTATTGAAACTTGTTTTGTGGCCTAACATGTGTTTTTTCTTGGAAAATTTTCCACATGCACTTGAAAAGAATGTATATTCTGTTGCTTTGGGGTGAAATCTCTAAAAATATCAATTACATCCATCTGGTCTAATGTGTCATTCAATGCTGCTGTTTCTGTGTTGATTTTCTGTCTGGAGGGTCTGTCCATTGGTGTCAGTGGGGTTTTAAAGCCCCCTACTATGATTGTGTTACTGTTGATTATGTTACTGCCTTTATGTCTGTCAATATT